GACCCAACCTGCAACCCCAGTTCATGCCCTTCACTGGGAATCAAACACAAGACTCTTTGGTGCATGGCCTGGTGCTCTAACCACTGAACCACACTGGCCAGGCCTACTTATTTTTAATTTTTAAATTATAGATGACATACAACATTATATTAGTTTCAGGCATACGATGTAGTGGTTAGACATTTGTAGACCTTATAAAGTGATTCCCCCCTGAATACATCTAGTGTCCATCTGGCACTAAACATTTTTAAATCACAAAGAAAATAGAGTTCTTAAAATGATGTGTATCCTTGTGCTGGTGGAATGGAAGGAGACAGAATGAGAGCCAATGCGAAGCAGGTCCTTCTTGTGCTTCCTGTTCTGACTGTGCCCAGAGGTCGTCAAGGAGGCTGTTACCATGGCTCCTGAGGGACAGTGCCTGGCACTGCAGAGCACCTGGGGTTCCTTAGATAGCCCGACAGTACTAAATAGTGTTGATGGTCCTGTAATTTTCTTGGAGGGGAATGAGTGTCTGCTTCTTGGTAATACCCACCCTTTGAGCACCAACCGTATAATCACTCTGGACTCCTGTCTCGGGAGGCTGGTCCCAGAGCACTTCAGGCCGCTCGTTCTTGAAAGCAGATGCAGTTGATAAGCAACAGCTGACATGACAGATCTGTCTAAGTGCAAGAACTTTCCTGAAACTTTTATGTAAAGCGGCAGCATGCAGTGCCAAAGTCGTTACTCATGGGAGTACCCAGGGGCTGTGCTGGCCCGATTCCTGTCTCCCTTCGCCCTGGCTCCCTCACAGCATCGCCGTGGCCATGCCGGGACCTGGGTGCTGGCTGCTCCCGTGGGGAAGCCCACAGCGTTCCGGGACTAGGGGAGGGACAGTGTGGTCACTGACTGGCGAGCTCTGGACACAGCAGTACCTTATTCCGGAAAGTGGTGAGACATGCTGTTTGGTGGCTGATGAAGAGACTTGTTTCATTTGAGTAGCACTTGAATTTTGCTTCGTGCTCTCAACACCCTCGTGAGCTACCCGGTCATGCCTAGATAGACATTCTGGTCCTGCTGTTTGTCCCTGTGCCACAGAGCATGGAGTTAACGAGACCTAATTAGAGTAAAACAAAATTTAATCTTCTGGCAAACAATGGAATAGTAGTTTGGTGTTTCAGGTGTTGCCCTGCTGAAGACATCCTTTTGTTTTTGCCTACCCAGCATCATTTCTTTGGGAACTAGCACCCCGATTTCACCTTGACCCCGTTGGTCCCCTACAGTCCCCAAAGATGAAATAGGATTGACTGACCTAGCACCCAGCTCCAGGAGAGGGCAGGGGGCCTGCCTGGCCAGTCTGGTCCCTGCGTCTCCTTGGTCATAACTATCGGTTCAGATGTGGACGTGTGACCCTCACGGGGCCTACCGAGAGCCCGGCAGGATTTCCCCCACGGTTATTAGGAAGAAATAAGCTCCCTCCGTGGGTTTGCACACGGGGAAGAGAGCCTGCTTGAGACTATGGCCAACCCAGAGGAAGCAGAGGCTGATCACACAGACACTGTCCATGTGGCCTGAGTGACTGACTGTATTTCGGTCCATCTGTGGATTTTTCATTTGAATTGTTCAGTATGTAGGGGGTGGAGAGAGACTCAGTAGGTATAGTTCTGTTTTTCATCAGCCCATTTGAGTTGGGTTCCTTCTTTGGCATTTATTCACCTGTATTGCACTTTTACACTCTCAAGAATCAAAAGATAGTGATGTCCTGCCAGGTGATCAATGTTTTCTCTCTCTCAAATTAATTAAAAAACATATCCTCGGGTGAGGATTAAAAAAAAAAAAAGATGGTTGCCTGTCCACTCATTTATTCCTTTTTTGACATACATTTATGTCAACTGGTCACAGGCCAAAATCAGTGGCAAATGGGGCTAAGTCCAGGCCTGTGTTCGGGGCTAAGTCCAGGCCTATGGTCAGGCCTGTGTTCAGGCCTGTGTTTGGGCCTGTGTTCGGGGCTAAGTTTGAGGCTAAGTCCAGGCCTGTGTTCGGGCCTGTGTTCGGGGCTAAGTCCAGGCCTGTGTTCAGGGCCGAGTTCAGAGCTATGTTCGGGGCGAGCTGAGTGAGGACAGTGGAGCTCTGGGGCTGAGGGGCTTCCCCTTGTCCCCTGGGTGCCTAGTTCCACACCCAGCTGGAGCAGCGTCACCGCCCCCTTTCAGATACTGGCCTACCCCTTCAAAGCACTCAGGGTTTGTTCTTGCTCCCTCTCTGCAGAGAGGAAGGACACAGTCTGAACTTCAAGAAGCTCTTCTTACCCTCGCTGCTCTGCATATTCAATTAAAAAAAAAAAAGTTCTATTTTATTGATTTTAGTTTTTCAGATTTTTGTTTTTTTCAGAGAGAGGGGAAGGGAAAGAGAAATAGACATCGATGTGAGAGAGAAACATCATACATGGATCAGCTGCCTCCTGCACGCCCCCCATTGAGCCCACAACCCGGGCATGTGCACTGACCGGGAGTCAAACCGGGACCTCTCAGTCCCGGGGACTGTGCTCAACCACTGAGCCACACCGGCCAGGCCTGAAGACTCAATTTTTTAAAAGAAAGTTATAGGCCAACATCCCTGATGAGCATAGATGCAAAAAACCCTCAACAAGCCCTGGCCGGTTTGGCTCAGTGGTTACAGTGTCGGCCTGCGGTCCAGAGAGACCCGGGTTTGGTTCCTGCTAAGGGCATGTACCTCGGTTGCAGTTTGTCCCCGACCCTGGTTGGTCTTGTGGGTGGCAGCCACTCGATGTGTCCCTTTCATGTTGATGTTTCTCTCTCTCTCTCCCCCTCCCACTCTACCAGAACAAAAAATGGAAAAATGTCCTCAGGTGAGGATTAAAAAAAAAAAAAATCAATCCTCAACAAAATATTAGCAAACTGAGTTCAGCAACATGTTAAAAGGCTCATACACCGTGAGCAAGTGGGATTTATTCCCAGGTGCAGGAATGCAAATGTAGCCTTTTGGTAATTCAAAAGAAAAAGACATCACCTTCAACAGAGCAACAATTAAACCAATTGCTGGTTTCTCAAGAGAAATAGTGAAAGCCAGAAGACAAACGGAATATTTTAAAGTGCTAAAAGAAAGTGACTGACCATCTAGAATGCTGTGTCCAGAAGCATTCTTCAAAATTAAATGGGAAATCAAAGCATCTCTGGATCTCAGGACAGAGAATGATCACAAGCAGGGCATCAAAGGAAATACTCATCACAGGTCTCCAGGCAGGAGTACAATGAACCTAGATGAACTATCAGAGGGACCAGAAGACAAGACCGATGCAAAGGGTAAAATCTGAATGCGTGTAAATGAATATTGCTTGTAGAAATAAAAAAAGAATGTTTTCTTTCCAGCCTGTTAAGAAAGTCTGAACGGAGCAGTCTTCCTGGCCCCGTTGCTCCCTAAGACACAAATGGATCTCCTTCACCCCGTGTTGGGATTCCAGTCTCAGCGATGCACGTGCGACCCCTTGGGGAAAGGAGAGCTATAAGCAGCCAGGTGCAGCACCCCCTGAGTCCCCCCATCACTATGACAACCGCTGGGAGTGGGGCCTCTGTTTTTCTCAAAGCAGACCCAGTACTGTGACTACTAGGGAGGGGTACATGGGAAGGTATTTGACACATCACACGTGCTCCTTTAATGTCACATTCTTGTCCATTTTTATTGCTCGTTTCTTATCTGTCACTATAAGGTACAGACCCTCCAGAAGAAAAAAAGTTTTATTTTCACATCCACATGCCACACTTTCTTCTGTCCCCTTCCTTTTTCAGCCAGAGAGGTGGCAGGCTTCCCTTGTGGTCACACACATTCACAGAACTCTTCCCGGCTGTGTGTGAGTATATAAACCACCCAAGACATATATCACGTGTTATTTAGGGGGGCATACATCTCAGTCAGTAGCTGGAGAGAGATGATACATGACAGACAGATATTATGTAGCCCTCAAAATAACATGTCTCCAAAACTCTGCTAAAATACAAAGCTTGTTACAGCATCCAGTCTTCATTAGGTTACACAGTTTATTTTATTTTATTTTACTTATTTATTTATTTTTTGTCAATCTTCATCCGAGGATCTTTTTCCATTGATTTTGAGAGAGAGAGAGAGAAACATCAATGAGAGAGAGACACATCAACTGATTGCCTCCTGAATGACCCTGACTGGGGCCAGAGATTGAACCTGCAACCCAGGTATGTACCCTTGACCGGGAATCAAACTCATGACTCTTCAGTCCATGGGCCAGTGCTCTAACCACTGAGCAAAACTGGCCAGGGCGGAAGATGGATTATATTTTAAAAGGTTTGAAAAGGATCTATATCCCAAATAGTAACACTATCGTGGAGTTAGGGAAACTGTCCACGGGATGAAGTTGAGGCACTGGCAGGAAGGTGAGCCCTCATTGTCTGGGAGATGATGTTCTGAAGTTGGAATAAGGAGCGTGTGGCCTCACAGGCCTCCAGAGAAACAGCAAACCCCTGGGCTCCTAAGGCCCAACCCGAAGGGTGAAACGTTCACCAGGAGTAACAGCCTTCAGCAGGAGCCCGGGAAGAGGGCAGAGGCCACGAGCCAGGGAATGGGGCTCAGGCCCGTTCCGCTCCTTACGAAGCCGCCTGTCCTCTAAGCAGCACGTAAAGCAACAGAACAGACTGAAGACCCCACTCAGCCCTCCTGAGTGGGGAAGGTGCCTGCGCTTCCCTTCCAGGGCATCTGGGGAGGACGCTCTCACCCTGCGGTTTTTACATCACCATCACGGCCCCTCAGCACTTCCTGGGAAATGCCTGCTCCAGGGTCACCCCACACTCCCAGGAGGAGCCAGAGGGCGGCATCCTTCAGACCTGGTCTGCTCTCAGCGTGAGTGAGGGCTGCAGCCGATCCAGAACCCTCCTGCCTTTCTGCCTGTCCTGGGAGTCCATGGAGCTGTCCCCTGACTCTGACCCCTCCCCCTCCCCCTCCCCCACTCCCCTCCCTCTCCTTCCCTCCTCCCCCTCTTCATCTTCCTCCTCTCCCTCCTCCTCCTCCTCCACCCTTCTCCTCTTCTCTGTAAAAGAAGGGAGGGAGCTGAGCCCAGCACCAACTAGGAAACTAGGGGACCAGAAAAGCTCCTCCTGCCGGGACGGGCGCATTATTCTTTGTTTCTGTGATGATCTCTCCTAGTCCAATGTTGTAACGGTTGGGTGGCCAGTTCAAATTTGGATCATGCTGAAAGGTTTTCTCGAGGTCTCGATACAATTTAAGGTCTTTTGTATCACTTAAGCGTTCATAGTTTCAGCAATACTATTTTCTTTGGTTTCTGGCCACCTACAATCGGCTTTTGCTCACATTAGAGCGTGGTCAAAACGTTAGGACAGTGAGAGGCTACCATCTCACACAGAATCCGATCAGCTGAGGCAGAGTCCAGTTCCGAGGTCGGCTGCAGGGGTGGGTGGGTGTGGGCAGCCTCTGGACCCCAGAGGTGCACCAGGATCCCCGGGGAGCAGTCACTACAGTAAATTGTTTTAAATAAGTTTTTTTTTAGTTTTTTTTTAAAGAAGTCCATCAAATGACACAAACTCAAGCTGATGAAAGCGGCTGCCTCAGACCCAGCCTGTGCCTGGGCGGTGGAGGCCGGAGGCAGTGCCCCTCGGGCTGCCCGGCCCACACAGTCCACTGCGGTGCTTTGCTTGCTGCCGCCACCGCGCCGGTGCCCCAGGAGCTGTCCCGGCTGCTTCCTGCTCGCTGGCACAGCGGGCTGGGCCTCACACCCTCGTGTCCTGGGCGGGGGCGTCGTCCTGTGGACCCAGGGGGAAAGAAGGCATTAGGGAGAGAGTGGGAGACCCTGTCACCAGCCCATCTCCTTGGCGCATTATTGAGGGGGCCTGTCACTGAGCTGTGCAGTCTGGCTCCCTCCGCCCACACCCGGAATCAGGCCCGAACTCCGAGTCAGCGGGGCCTGGGAGCATGAGACAGCGCCCCTTTCCTGTGCACCCCACCCCTGCACACACCTCCTGTACACCCCATCAGGGACAGCCTGTCCCGTCCTGCGCCCTCGTGACTGCGCTGAGCTGACTGTGAGGGGCTGTGAGGAGCAGGACAGGGACAGGCGCTGGGGCCCTGGACTTGCTCCCGGTGAAGGAGCAGGGCACCTACCTTCGTCTGGGGGAGCTCACTGCTCGTGCTGGGCTGGCAGCCTGGCTCCAGGACAGCCCCCTCCTGTTGCTTTCCCTTCCTCTCCCCCTCTTCAGGGGTGAGGCCGCCCTCCACTCCTCCAGGGAGGCTTGGGGGGCTCGCCTGCCCCACAGCGCCCTCCTCCGGCCGCTCGGCGCCCTGGCTCTGCTGTGCGGGCTCCGCGTCACCCCCGGCCCCCTCTTCCTTCACCGCTGCGGACTCGGCCCCCTGCTCGGTGGCCGGCCTGTCCTCCGCGGGGCTCCCGCCCCCGTTCTCTGCCTCTGTGCTGGGGGCCGGGGCTGGTTCCCCAGCCTCCTCCTGGGCAGCCTGGGCAGCCTTCTCGGGCAGCTGCGGGGCCTCCTCCGGGGCCGGGGCCGGGGCCGGGGCCGGGGCCTTCTCCTCCTGCTTGTCCGCCCTGCTGGAGGTCCTCTTCAGAGAGCGCGTCTCCTGGGACCCCAGGGCCGTCCTCCCTTCGCTCCCCACCGCCCCCTCCCCAGGCGGAGGGGAGCCGGGGGCCTCTGGCTCGGTCCCAGCTTCTTCCTGAGCACCGTTCTCCTGGGAGGGCTCTGCCGCCCCGCCGTCCCCCAGCTCCCCGAAGTCCGACTGGGACCTCCGGAACCGGCGGGAGGGAGGGCGCCTCTTTATGGAGCCCCGCGTCCGTACCTGGAAGAAGGGACGGAGCAGAATTACCCCAAACCTGTCGAAGGGCCGGAGGAAAACCGCAGGGGGGGGGCTAGGGGCTCGGAGGCCCCCGGGTTTTCTGGGGGACGGACATCTGGGCCATGGACGATAGGGCAGAGCCGGGAACTGCGGGATTCCACGCAACTGCAGATGTTTGTCTCATGAAGATGCTGTGCTTTCCATCCAGGAAAAAATGCAACCTGACTTCATTGCCCGATAACTGTCACCGTCTACTTAGCTGTTTTATTCTCACCTTTGCTTTTTAAACTGCCTCTAAATAGCCAGTTCTTCCAATGTGCTTTGGATGGGTCCCCCCATCCTGCAGGTTCCCTTATACATGGACACGGCGAATGAAATCGATCCCTGCCTGGCCGGTGTGGCTCAGCGGTTAGAGCGTGGGCTTGCAGTCCAGAGACCAGGGTTCGGTTCCCGGTAAGGGCACGAACCTCGGTTGTGGTTTGTCCCCGGCCCTGGTTGGGTCGTGTGGGTTGCAGCCACTCGATGTGTCCCTTTCACGTTGATGTTTCTCTTCCTCTCTCTCCCTCCCACTCTATCTGAACAAAAAATGAAAAAATGTCCTTGGGTGAGGATAAAAATAAAAGGAAAATTCTGTTTTCCTAAAAAAAAAAAAAAAAATTGATCCCTGTTTTGTATAAGGGGTACGTTTCAACATTTTGAAAATGATACTTTGACAAAGGTGAATCCAACAGAGAAGAGGGTTAGGGGCCTGCTTGTGTCCCAGGGACCTCAGGGGAGCAGTGCTGGACAGCTGGTGACCAGCTTCCTCCTGTCCGGTCCCCACAACGCTGACCGATCCTGGGAGAGGTGAGCGACCAGGCTCCTCCCCTTCGGGCGGCAGGCCCACTGCCAGGTCTCAGGGGCGCCCAGCAGGCTGGCGGAGGGCCCTTCCCCTCGGGAAGTGTGTCGCTCTGAGGCTCGGGCCCCAGCTTGGCCCTCCGGACCTGGTCAGAAGTTCGGTGGAAATGTCTGTCTCAGACGCTGACTTGACTCAAGGGGAGTATCCCTTAGTAACGTGGGTCCGTGAAACCTAATTTTCGTGAATGTTATTTTCCCACCGACTTCCATTTCGGTAGTGGTCAGTTCTAATTCCATCTCTTGGGTTTGGAGTGAATACTCGTGTTTTGAAGGCTTCCCAGGCCTTTTCCCGAGCCCGCGGGGAGGCCAGCCCCACAGGGCAGCAGAGCCCCGGGCTCAGGGCGCGCAGGGGTCAGAAACAACCGCCTGTTCCCTTGCTGCTGTCCAAGCATGAAGCCCTGGCGTCATGACCAGATGCTAGCACCTCCCTCCTTGCCCCTGCCCCTACCGACACCCTGTGAGAGACAAGGCTGTCCCGGGGCTCCTCTGCCCGTCACCCTGGGCTGCACGGTGTCCCCTCAATCCCCGGCCAGCTGACGCCCGCCCATCACTCTATACACCTCTTAGCTCCTGGGCCCCACCTGCTTCCGCACACCTGACCTTTCTCCCCAGGTGGACTTTCTGGAATGTCCCAGAAGGGGCCACTCCCTCCCTCCATAGTCCCAAAGTCACACCCATTTGCCATTTCCTGCCTGCCTCTGCCCATTTGCCATTAGCCCCTGCCTGGCTCTGCCCATCTGTGGGGTGCCTGCTTGGACTGTATCTCTGATCCTTACCACCTCCTGGGAGGGCCAGGGGTCCGAGGAAAGAAACCACACTCAGAGTACCGGGCAGCGTCTAGGGAAAGCAGCCTGGCCTCACGTCTCCTTGCAAAGGGCCAGTCTGGAGGTTCTCACCTGGGCCAAGAGCTCTGCCTGCAGTGAGCATGCTCTGGGCTCAGGCCGGGGCAGGCCACGCCCGGCCAGAACAGGGTGCTCTGGAGTCCTAGCGGCCTGCCCACCCTCCTTCGTGGATCACTGGCCAGGCCTTCCGCTTCGGTTTTCAGCGGTGACATGACTCTGTGCAGGGGGGCTCGGCCCTGAGTTCCCACCCCTCCTTCCACCAAGGACTGTGCCCCCCACCCTCACGCCTGCCTGTCTAGTGGCAGCTACGAGGGGAGAGACGCAGGGAGGGAGAGGGCTGGTCTGGGCTCGGGGAGCACTTGCACAGAAGGGGACAACTTCCCTTCTGTTAATACTCAGCTGTGATTACAGCTTCAGTGTGGCCTCCTCTCTCCGGGACAACCACAGGGTGGAGCAGACCGGGAAGGTCGCATGCCCGTGTTTCCGCAGACAGACCACAGGCTCGGAACCAGACATCACCTTGTTGTAGCAGGGCAGGTGGCTGCCCTCTGGGGGCTGGTCGAAGCTGATGGGCACCTTCTCTGGCTCGCTGGCCTGAGGCCGCACGCCGGGGCTGCTGGGGGTGGAAGGCGGGCTGTTAAACGGTGACAGGGCGGCCTTGAGTCCAGGACTCTTGGGTGAGGCTCCAGGGAGCAGGGCGGCGGGATCAAAGGCTAAATTGGCCTGTTGAGAGAAGACATTTCAAATAGGGCTGGAGAGGATGTTTCTGCTCTAGCTGGTTGGTTCCTGGCCTCGCTCAGGCTCCATAATTCCAGAGCGCCTGGGGGGTGGGGCGGGGCTGTACTCCCAGGAAACAACTGGCAACGCCTGGAGACATGTTGCTGTCGCCTGGAGACATGTTGCTGTCGCAACTTGCGGGGAAAGTGCTGCTGGCATCTCGTGGGGGAGGGGCTGGGTTGCTGACAAACATCCCAGCCGCGCAGAAAGCCGTCCAGCCCAGACAGCCCAAGGCGGAGGCCCCTTGGTCTGGAGCTGGAGGAGCGCAGTTACAATGTAGCTCTCTGGTGTTGACTCCCCTCCACGCCTTTCGTTGTGTGCAAGCCTTGTCCCCCCAGCAAGCCCGTGAGCTCCGACGCAGTGACTTCTGTGTCATCTACGTGCCAGGAAGGCCAGCTCAGCTCTGGGCACACTGGGGGCCGGTGGAGGGGTCAGGCAGCGATTCGACCATCTGGGTGCCATGTCAGGCCGAGGTGGCCGGTGGCCACATCCAGGCCTTGGGGGAGCGGACCTGGCTATCCCTGGAGGGTTTGCCACACTGTGTCCTTCCCCGTAAGACTTGGGGCATCTGTCATCCGTCCACTGCTGGAAGGTGTTAACTACCTGAGCTCGTGCTGGACAGGGGCCTTATTTCGGTCCTTTGTCCCCAGGCGGAGATCTTTCAGGGCTGTTTGGTCGCTAATGCAGAGATCTATAGGTGTTGGATGAGAGGCGGGGCTGGACTTACCTGAAGCTTCTCGATCAGGGGCGAGCTCTTCACCTTGACTTTCGGAAGGTGGCTGGCATTAGGTGGTGACTTCTGTAGAGCAAATGGACCGAGACAACCAAATGAGTGAGGTGGAGGGAGGCAGGGTTCTGGCTGGAAAAGGGGGAGGAGAAGCTGGTTCACCGCTTAGCTTCGGGGGCCCACACACCTCACCAGGGCCTGGGTGAGGCGGACTTCCCTCCGCCCCTTCTCTCCCCATGGGCCTGGGCCGATGGGACAGATGTCCGAAACAAGGGTCTCCTGTTCCAGGAGCAATGACTTCATGGGCATATGAGGGAACAGACTAAGTCTGAGAGAGGGCTTCTCTGTACCTCATGACCTTCAAGGACATGTGCCAACACTTGGAGGGACTTTCAAAGAGAAAGGGCAAAACGACCCCTCTGCTGCTCACAAACCAAACAAGGAACCACAGACTAGGATTGAAACCTGACAGGTGTTTCGGAAAGTCCCCCCTTGAACCAATGGCATTTTGGAAAAAATCCCACCATGAAGGATCACTTTTCAAAGCATCGGAGAGTCATCATTTTGACGAAGCGAACTTTGATGGAGCGGCCCCCACCCCAGGCCTTGTGCCGGCTGTGTAGACGCGCTGTTGGTTGAGATGTTTCTGTGATGGACGCAGGTAGAGACCGTCTCTGCCTCTGAGTTTATAGCATCTAAAAACCTCCCCCTTTCTGTTGTGTGTGAAATCCCTACAGTTGAGTCCGGTTCCACAGGCACATAGCTCCTCACGTGTAGGGATGGTGATGGAGGAGGAGGAGGAGGAGGAGGAGGAAGAGGAGGAGGAGGAGGAGGAGGAGAAGGAGAAGGAGGAAGGAAGGAGGAGGAGACACTGCATGTTGGATGGAGGCCGAGGCGGATACAGGAGACCCAGCGTCTGTTCCCTGCCTCTTGCCCCCGTGTACTAATTTACCGGAATCATAGGGAGAAGAACAACCCAACCCCTTACGATGTCCTGAGGTCTGTACTGAATGAGATGACTGTATTTCGGTGACGGGAGGAGGTGGAGGACTCAACTGAACTCCCGTGACGTTTGAAGGACCAGCATCTGGGAGAGAGGCTGCAGAGGGACAGTCACTGGCCAGGACCCGGGAAGCCCCCAGCCCTTTCTAACTCTGTTTCAACAGGAAACATGACCAGGCTGCAGCCTCCTCAGGGAAGACCCAGGCAGCTGGCAGAATCAGGGATTCTAAGGGCTCCCTCCTCCGCCCCCCAGCGCCCTGGCCCCTGAGCTTACACCGTCAGACTGCCCCTGTGCGCTCACACCGTCAGACTGCCCCTAGAGCGGCCGTTCAGGGAGCTTTGTGTCCACCGTGAGCACAGAGGACTTCCAGCCCAAACTGGGTTGTCCTTGGTCTCCCGGGAGCCAGTTTCTGAACAGGCTGTTTGAGAAGTGGCAGCTATGGTTTTGCTGATGAAGCTCCCTTTGTGGTCCCGTGACCCCTCGCTCCCCTATCTGACCATTGCCTTTTGGAGAGTATGATACACCTGGCCCCTCAGCCTGGGAACCCAGCTCAGGGTCCACACAAGCCTTGCTGATTTGAATGAAAGGGCAAAGCAGAATTCAAAATAGCCGCTCATGCAGTTCCTAGGAACGGTGGCAGGGGGCAGCATTTCCTTTGCCATTCAGCAAGCGGATCCAGGCCAGTGGCTGCGTGGGTGGAGAAAAGCCAGTCTTCCAGCCTCTGTATGGGTGTCTCTAGGTCCATATGGGACACTGCGATAATGTCTAGGAGTCAGGGACCTGAGTTTTCAGAGGGGAGTGTATTCAGCCCTTCTCTGAGCAGACGAGGCAAGGTGGCCACATTAAACATCCTTTGGCTGTGTCTTCCAGAGAGGGGTAACTCCTGGTGCCCCCATCTGCAAGGCCTGGCCCTACCTTCCCAGGCCTGTGCAGGCACCAGTGCAAAGACTCTTTCCAGCACCGTGCATGAGGAACCAAGGAGGGACCTGACTAGGGTCCCGCCCCCCAGCCCAGCCCCCCGGCCCCCCAGCATTTGGTTTCCGGCTGCCGAGCTCTGTGAGCAAAGAAAGCCAGGTGAGGGCAGCAGCCTCCCTCCAACCCAGCCAGGCAGAGCTGGCTGCTCATCTTATGTCCCTGTGAATTTCAAAGTGGCAAAAAGGCGCTGATCCGGGGGGTGGTGTCCTCCCTAAGGGCGGGCAGCCTGTCACTGAAGGCAGGGCTCTCTCTCTAAAGGACACCCCACTATTCATCCAGTCTTCGGCTTAACTGCTGGCTGGTGCTCATGGGATGAACCCTGTTCATTTGTTTCCCCCAGAGCCCCCGAGCTAACCTGACTCAGTCTGCTTTTATCCAGGGGCTAAAACATCCCATCCAGCCCCCACCATCGGGTTAGCGTTGTCCCATTTTACAGAAACATGAAGCCAGCTCGTGAGATGCAGGGACACTCTCTGGGACCAGGTCCCAGGTCCGGGCCATGGGGCACCCTCAGCCTGTCCCAGCACAGACTCCAAGCCCAGGAGGTGGAGGTCAGAAGGAGCTGGCTCTCCGTAAAGAGAAGTGTTGGTATGTGTCTGGTCAGAGCCTCGGCCGATAATCACCCCATGAAGCCACAGAATCATGATGTTGGTGCTCGGGGAGACGCCCTCCAAAAAGCCCAGTGCTTTCCCAACTCTTGTGCATCTTGGCGTTCTCGTCCCAGAAGACGACCCCTGTTTGGTGTGTGTGTGTGTGTGGGGGGGTCCTCAGGGCAGGCGGGCTCGAGGCCACGCCCTCCCACGCGGCCAGAGCAGCTTGAGTCTCAGCCTCACCTGACGGCTTCTGCTTGCAAACTGTGGGTGGGCAACAAGGTTCGAAAACCACTCATCTACTGCCAGTGTCTCACTTCACAGGGAGGAGATGGGGGCGCCGAGGGGCGTGCCAGAGTCCACGGGGGTGTCCAGTGTCTGTCGTCAGAATGCTGGTCCCAGAAAGGACGGGGTGGGGGGGGGGAGTTGAAGTGGGATTTGGGCACCGTCTTTGGCTGGCTTGCTCCATTTGGGGGTTGGTGACCCAGGCTGCACAAGACAACATGCAAATTCCTTTCTGGCAGGGACCACAACCACAGTGGAGGTCCGGGGGCCACGGGACAGGGCGAAAAGACGCTGCTCTGCCTGCTCCAATGAGATCCCTGGGCGTAGGTGAGCCTGGGGCCCAGGCCTCCGACACCCTGGCCTTCCCTCGGTCGCCGACAGCGGCTGTTTCTCTCTGAGGGCCGCGAGCCTCCTGTGGGCGCCGGGGCTTCCGATGACCCGGGCAGTGGCCAGTCCTGGCCCTCAGTCACCGTTCTGCCTGGGATACATGCGCCCTTCGGGTGCTTCTCCCCACGGGACGTCCTGTAGGTAGACCTGGGAGGGCCTGTTCTCTTTGCTGAACCCCAGTCTTGAGGAACCGTGCCCCTGCCCCTGAACAATCACACACCCTCGAGGCTCAGTAGGGGCAGGGAAGGAGCCTCCCCTCAGAGTCAAGGGTGCAGGAAGGCTGACCCCGGAGCTAAAAGGGGACCCAGTGTGGATCTCGCGCCCCTTCCTGTGAGGAGGAGACAGGAAGTCCGTGCCCAGGGCCCTACAGCACTTACCTCCTCTCCGTTCTGGCCCAGCTCGACCTTGGGGGGGAACAGGGGGAGGGAGCAGGGTGGTTTCCTTCGGGCCGGCTTGCTGGCTGGCATCTGGAGGCCGGGGTAATGATGACAGACAGACACACAGAGAGAGCAGTCAGCACCGGGAGGAAGAGGAAGGAAGTCAAAGTGGCTGAGGGATGTTTAGGGAGGTCTGGAGGAGGACAGAGCGCAGGGAGCGGCCTGTCCTTGGCCTGGCTATTAACTGTGTCAATGAGCTCCGTTTCCCCCGCCCCCCTTCTAGGCCTCAGCCTCCCGTCTCCTCGGCCGGCTCCTCGGCCTCGGCCGTGCCCACGGCAGCACCCTCCTCTGCTGCACCCTCCTCTGCTGCACCCTCCTCTGCTGCACCCTCCTCTGCTGCACCCTCCTCTGCTGCAGCCATTGGCCCGAAACACCTCAAAACGACCCCACACCCAGCTTCCAGGCACCGCCAGCACCCGGCCAGCGCTATCGTAACTCTTTGCGCTGTTCCCACGATGTCTAGAAATCATGGGCTCCTTTTTGGATGGGAAACGGAAGTGCAAGTAATGCACCTAGAAAAGCATAAGGCGCGTGCTCTCCTTGGCCCCTAGGGGCCCCGAGAAACCACGCCCACCTCGGGGTGCCTTCCGTCATGTCCAGTGAGCACCCGACCCTGAAGAAAATGCAGCACGAATCTCCAGCGTTAGGAGACCTTTGTCACAGTGTCCTCTCCGGCAGGATTCTAGAGTCCGCCGGTCACTGGCTCCTTTCCTGGGGACCTCTGGTCTCCCATCGGGACCTGCATCCCTGCCTTCCTCGCCGGGGCTCCAGGCTCCAGGCAGCAGCTGGTGTGACGAGGTCTTTATTCTGAGCCAGCCCAGGCCTGGCACAGCCGGGCAAGACCTACGTCTATGTCAGTGATGGAGGTGGCACAGAGTCCAGACCCCCACCTCCGGCGGGCAGGGCGGTGGGCCGGGGCCTGGTCCCCTCCTCCCTCTGCCGGGAAAGATCCCGCCCGGCCAACAGTGGTGACATTCCTCGCATTCAGGGGGACCCCTCTGTGGCTTCTCTTCCTAATTTGGTAATTACCAAGCTTCCTCCCTCTCTGCCTCCGGGCCTGACCCAGACTTCCCCTTCCTCCAGCCCCCTCCCAGAGCAGGGCTGCGGGGGCTCACCTCCTTCCCTGCCACCGCTGCCGCCTGCTCCCTGAACCGCCCGGCCAGCTGGGCCACCGAGGGGGGCGCCGAGTTGTCCACGTTGCTGCTGTTCCCTGTGGCTCTCGCCTGGCAAACCAAGGGAAGTGCCGGTTAGCAGGAGACCAGCCCTCGGCTGGGCTGTGTCCGGCTGGGCTGTGTCCGCCCCAGGGCTCTGTGCACAGCAGGGGTGCCGGGACAGGGGCCTCCAACTGCATTTAGTAATCGGCTCCTACAAAGGTTTTTTTTAAACCCACTCAGTCCAGCACATTCGGCGCATATTTAAGTCCTGGGCCCAGGGTGTGGCTCTGGGGGTCTGGGGGAAAGCAACCGGCCCTGTCCTGGACGGGTGCTGGGCGTCGGGGGGTACCCCCGGGTTCCTCATTGTGTTGTATCAGCCACAGCGCTGGCGTTGCTTGTCTTGGTCAGAGGAGGCTGTGGGAAGGGGTGCTGGTGACACGCACCGCAGGGGGGCCTTTCAGCGTATGGCAGGGCGAGCCCACGCGTGCCCTTCCCTGAGTGCGCCGTGTGTCCAGACTTTCCCCCACTTCAACCAGGGCCTGGTGGTGAAGAAGTTTCTGTGACACGCCCACACACACACACGCCCACAATGCACGTGCACACACACACCCACCCACATGCACACACACACACACACACACAGAGGCATACACGCCCACACACACACACATGCCCACAATGCACATGCACACACCCACCCACCCACATGCACACACACGCACACACACAGGCATACACGTCCACACACACGCACACTCCCACACATGTGCCCACACAGGCGCACACACATGTACACACGCACACATAAGTACACACACATGCACACGTGAAGTACACACATACTTCCTAGGCCCTCATTTTTGTGCTAAAAGCACCTCCACACTTGCTGATTGGGGTGCCCCTCCCAAGTAAGCGCCACGGCGCTGCTAAGGTGCTGGCCTTGGAGCAGGGAGGGCAGGCGCCACCCCACTGGCCTCGCGGTGAAGTTGAGCACACAGTGCAGGGACACAGCTCTGTGCAGGAGGCTTGTTGAGAGATGGCGGAACCGGCTCGGGCCGCGGACCTCGGACCCTGAGCAGACCAGAGGGAAGGGCAGGGCCCTCTGCACTGTCTCCGGCTGCGGTTCAAGTTCGCCCTCTCCCAGCCTGAACACCAGACGCTGGTTCACGTGAAGGAGCGAAGGGATTCACCTCTAGCAAGGACGCCGGAGTTCCCCTCACTCCGGGGACAGCCTGAGTCTGAGGCCGGGTCAGTGCCGGAGGGCCGAGCACACTGCACCTCAGGAGTTCTCAGAGGCCAACATCTTGTCCTGGGACAGCGCAGGCTCGAGGGACATTGTGACTAACTGAGCCGCTCCTGGCGAAGACGCCGCCGACCGGTCTGTCCGTCCCTAACGTCCTGCCCGCGTCGCGGATCCGGCTGGCTGTCCGTGACCACGCACTTCGCCCCGGCCCCATGGCCCCCATCTCTGGCTGGCGGTGCAGGAGGAGGACGGCAGATAAAAATAGAGCAGGATCAAAGGCCTCCCAAACGTTCCGCTGGGGAGGGCAAGGGGCTGAGTGAGCAAGCGAAGGGCTTCCGGAAGCATTTAGACTTAAAGAGGAAAGATTAGAGTTCACCTGAGTTCGCTTTCCTGGAGCCCAGCGAGTGGGTTTTCTTAGGGTGTCAGTGGGCTCCAGAGCTTGCTGAAGCAGGCAAGTCCCCTCTCCAGACGCTTCTCGGTCACTGCATGAAGGGACTGCCTTCTCACAGCTGACTCGTCAGCCCAGAGAGGGCGAGCAACTTCGGCAGAGTCACACAGAAAAGCCAAACAGAACAGTCTGTGACACGCTTGACTCTAACCCCTGATCATCCGCCCCGAGGCTGGTTTGCTAAGGCCCTGCTCTCACCAGGGCTGTGTTCTGAGTTCTGAGAAGGACTTCCATGGCCCCACCTTGCCCTAGACTTTCCTGGGACCCTGCAGCCTCCTTGGTGCCAAGCAGCCTCTCTGTTCCTAAGAGGTCCATAAAGTATTCCACGCAGAGCGCGGGATATCGAAAGTCCTCATCAGAGGGCGCTCTCCTCCCAGCCTGCCGTGTCGGGGCGGGGCACCTTCTCCGAGAGTCACGACACCCTCACTCATCCCTTGACGACGCCCAGCGGCAGGGCCTCCCTGCCTGCACCCGCCCCTCTGCACCTAGTCCCAGCTTTGACCTTAGCTGGTCCTTCCTTCTTGGGCCAATCTCTACGTCTCAAGTCTGTTTTCTGGACCGTGTCCCTTTGCACCTGCCTCAGGTGATGCTCGTGTTACAGATGCAGGGCCTGCAGTCCATCCTCCTGGGCCCGGGTGTGCTTGCCAAGCCTTCCTGCCACCAGCCTGCCCAGCTCGGCCAGCCTGCGTGGGCACCGGGCCTGGGGTGCTGTGACTTTGCAAGGCCAGAAGGCATCACCTCTGCTGTTTGCTTCCCATCGGCATGGGGCTTTTCTCAGGGCTCAGCAGCGTGAGTCTGGGGGCAGGAGCTCCCCACGCGGTTGCCATGTCGGGTAAATATGAAAACACGCTGTTGCCAGGCGACGTGGAACCCAGTCTGGCCCAACCGGCCTCCCTGCCCTGCCTGTTTCTTCATCTCCCTCCTTGGCCCCGGGTCTGCGTGTGTCACAATCTCTGGGCCGTGGTTTAGGGCAACGAGGCGGAGGGGCTGCTTTTCCACAACCTGGGAGGAAAAACGCCTGGGGCCCTGCCCTTGCTCAGCAGAAACAGGCCAGATAACTGGGAGCCTCGGGGGACAGGGTGAGCTCACTCTGCTCGTCTAAAACCCAGGTGGGTCTTAGGACAGTCTGCACGGGACTCGCCCCCTCCCAACATGGGCACGCCCAAACCGTCGCTGCAGAGGACCAGCGGGCAGCCACTTGGGGACACCACGGTGATTCCAGAGGCATCTTTACTCTCAGTTCATCCTGACGGGTCAGGGCAGCCCGCACGCACCCATCCCCCCCAGGAGGTCGGGACTGCACAGGGGAGGGCGTCGGCCAGCTGGACCGTGCGCACGCTCGGCCGCTGCTCTGGGGGAGGCCCTGTCCCCAGAGCACGGGGTACAGTGTCTGTGGCTCTCACAGCCCCGCTTCCGGACGAGGAAGCCCCCAGACTGCTCAGGCACTTGCTGCTCAAGTTGGTGAGTGCCGGCACCCAGTTGCCCGGACTCCAAAGCCTCAGCACCTTCCACACCCGCACACTCTCTAACCCCACACCCTGCCGGAGGAGCGGCCCTCCCGCTCTCCGTCCCCGACCCTCTGCTCTTCGGGGCCCCGGCACACCACGCGCAGGACGGCGAGCAGTAAACATGTGACCAGATACTCAGGAACGCGTGAAAGAGAGAGCTGGGCACCTGATGTCTATGGGGGCGCAGGAAGACATCTGGGGGCCATCTGGGTTGGATCCCAGCTGGGGAGAGATGGGAGGAACTGCCCTGAGCAAGTAGAAGTGTGGGGGGGACATGCTGGATCCAGGATCGGAGAGGAGGAGGAGCAGCAGCCAGAGGAGGCAGATGAAGAGACCGAACACCTGGACAGGTGCACGAGACCCTGCTCGCATATTCACACGCGACAGGGAAGTGCCACGTACCCCTCCCTGCCCCGGGTCTAAGAAAATGGCAGGTCCTTGCCGCCGAGGTCATCTCCCGGGGAAGAAACCAGGTAAGGTCCAGTACTCACACAAAGGACCCACAGGCGGGGGAGCGGGCCCTCTTTGGGACCCCCAGGACTCCCCCTTTCCTCCCAGGACGAGGAGCTGTGGCCCAGGGGCCCTCTGTCAGCGGGACACGAGGGGACGGCCGCTGTGGTTCTAGAGGCGGTGCCGCCCCCTGCCCGAGAGTCCGCCAGGTGGGTCAGCAGGTGCAGGGAGGACGGCACAGGCAGGGTTCGTGTCCAGGTAACAGTAGGGACAACGGGCGGGGGGGGGGGCAGGTGTTCTTTTCAAATGTTATTATAGGGATAGGACCCCACGGATGCACTTTGGGAGGCAGCGTGCATGCATTTCCGTAAAACCTGTTAACTGTTCTACAAGCATAAGGACACATTTTTATTGTGAGTCTGGAGGGTGGGACATGCAGGGACAACGGAAGAAGTGGAAGGAACACTCTGTTCAGTCTCTCCAGGGGCCTCTCCCCACCGGCCCTGTTCTGGAAGCATGCGAAGCCGAGCAGGGGTCCAGCAGAGCCACGGCTGCATTCCGATGAGCCCTCTGGTGGGGGAGGGGTGGCCGGGCCGGGGGACCCCGTGGCTCCACCCGGAAGGGGAAAAGTGAGCATGCTGACAACCACTGCCTCCTGCAGAGGGTGAGCCCTGGCCCCGGAGGTCCTGCCGGTGCGCCCGGCGTGTGGCTGGGTCAGGATCTGCCGAGAGAGGGGGAGCTGCATGTGGGAAGAGTGAGTGTGGGGGACCCTTGAGGGGGAGCTAAGACCCTGAGCAGTAGACGAGGGTCAGTGGCAAGAAAGAGACCTGACGATGGGGCAGCCACAGGGTCTGAGAGCCGGACCCTGAGATCTTCCATCTGCAAAGGTCTGAGATCAGGACCCTGAGCTCTTCCATCTGCAAAGGTCTGAGATCAGGACCCTGAGATCTTCCATCTGCAAAGGTCTGAGATCAGGACCCTGAGATCTTCCATCTGCAAAGGTCTGAGATCAGGACCCTGCGATCTTCCATCTGCAAAGGTCTGAGAGCCGGACCCTGCGATCTTCCATCTGCAAAGGTCTGAGAGCCGGACCCTGAGATCTTCCATCTGCAAAGGTCTCAGATCAGGACCCTGAGATCTTCCATCTGCAAAGGTCTGAGATCAGGACCCTGCGATCTTCCATCTGCAAAGGTCTGAGATCAGGACCCTGAGATCTTCCATCTGCAAAGGTCTGAGATCAGGACCCTGCGATCTTCCATCTGCAAAGGTCTCAGATCAGGATCCTGCGATCTTCCATCTGCAAAGGTCTGAGATCAGGACCCTGCGATCTTCCATCTGCAAAGGTCTCAGATCAGGACCCTCAGCTCTTCCATCTGCAAAGGTCTGAGATCAGGACCCTGAGATCTTCCATCTGCAAAGG